TTCTCTGTGGTAGTCAAAGCTAGTGGACAATGCATTTTAGTCATGTAAATGTGGAGAATTGAAAAGTTATAATTTAATGGCATATTTACTTTGGATTGAAAAGCTGCCTGTAAATTCTGTTTTACTTGTTCTCAACGTAGCGTGCTTCTTTTTTTATTGGTTGGAAACGTAACATCGAATGGTTTGGCAAGATATATAGAAACACAGATATGTAATGTCCGTTTTTTCTAACTGGAATTTTTGTTTCTTAATTTCCATTGTTGATTTTTAATTAGCAGTCAGATGGATCGAGTCGAAATGCAGTCGGAACGTATATGCATAAGTCGTTATAGTCATGTTGTTTGCGCGTATTCGCATTGTTGCACGACTCTTATGATTACCAGGTCAGCGACCTGTTACCTGTTTTGGGAGAAAGTTTACCCTGCGCGTGTAGTTTGTACTCAGCATCTCTAAGGCGCAAAGCAAGCATCTAACTTTTTTGCGCTACTATCCCGAATATTACTGTTGTGAATTTTCAGAGCCTTGTAGAAGCATGAAAGGTAAAATGGTTTACCTTCGGCTTCATGCCTAATACGTTTTAATGATTGCTAGAATGGGAGGAAAGACAGTTCCCATAACGTCTAATGCTTCTAAATGAAATTCTTTTTTAAAGGAGGAGATCTCCAATCTCAAATGAAAGATGCCTGGCGCATCGTCCAAATTGAAGATGGTATCAGGTTGCGTTGAAGATATTTGATGCCGGCCGAAAAAGAGAGTCAGAAGCTGCTTATTCAGTGTTCCACCAAATTTCAGTTCATTTTTGTTATTGATGCTGTCTTTAAACTTATCCTTCTCCTTATTTCCCTCGTCCTCTTGGCAGTTTTCCGTCTTTGTGTAATTTTTAACGCCTGTCAATCTTATCCAATTTCACTGCATCGTGGCCGCGTGACTTTCTTTCCAATTGCACACTCTTCAGTGTCTATTTCGTTTACGAGCAGCGTGTTATTAAGGTAGTATTTTAGCTGAAAACTCTTATATTCATGTTTTATTTCGCTTTTGCGCTTCCCTGGTTGATTACATTTTGTGACTGTCCAGAAACTGTTTGGGTGCGTTCATCTAAGGCCACATTTCACACACAGGCACACAAACTTACGTGAAAAAGCGTGTTTTGAAATAAGGCGGCTCTGTTTGCACTGAATAAAAAATTTTTGGTATTCGTAGTATTCGCATTTAATACGTGTAATGCATACGGCGCTGAGTTCTGAGATGATATTCTCTGCATTGGTGCGAGCTTTGAGTTACGAACAATGATCTGGTAGGCTCAAGGACATGCGTCAAGCACATATCACCGGAGAAGCGCGAGATGTTGGTACGTCGGTGACGATGCTACGCTTGAAACAGTGTTTTTATTGTGAGAATATTTGCAGTCAACAAAAGTTCTTATATAAATAAAGAGTAAATGAAAGCCACATGCATAATTAACACACAGACGTGAAATTAGGCCAACTAGTTACAGAAAACAACAACAGGTTTTATACCCTCTGCCGATTATAACACTGGATGGATAGTCAGCTATCAGCTGATTAAAGCGAACTGAAGCTTTAAGAGTCGCCTGAATCAAACAGGTGAATTTTCGTCTCGCTTATTCTGCAGCTCTGACCATGCCAAAACCCAGATACGTCCCTGTTATCACAAGTCAACGACTTACTACTCATTTCTATGCCTTTTGCACCGAAGTAATATGAGTTAAATTATTTTTTGCTGAGGTAAGGTTCAGCGTTTCGTTGATTTTTTTTCGCTATTCGAATCCGCAATCTCTGGACTTCGAAACCGACCTCTTACCATTATTTAACTACTCGTTCAAGCTGTAATCTCAGAACCATCTGATTGCTGACCGGCAGTTCAACGAAATAAATAGTTTTTTCTCCTGTGAGGTAATCCCGCAGAATGGTGAATGTCATTTATCACAGTTATTATTATTGTTTCGAGATTCCATAACAGTCGCTTTGTCAATTTTACGTACATCAGGAAAATGCGGTCGATCAAGCTTCATATCGTTGAGATACAGTTTGGATCACGGAAGAAAGGGCGGGCAGCTGCTGACAGCTTTTATTTAAATCCAGCTGTGATATGTTAACTGACTTAGGGTGGATCACGTTGAAGCACATGCTAAATTAATTACTAATGTGTTTCTTTTATTGCTTGCTGTACATTTCATTTAGAATATGGTTCAGTTATTCTTAAATGTCGAACGCTAATGTCTGTTGTAAACGTACAATTATAGTTTTACTACGTTCTCCGAGAATTGTTCATGCTTTAGTTGATCATGAGGTTACAACTATGACGAAATAAAGTTACACAAGCGAACTGGGTATAATTTGTATAATTCGGTTGGTTGGGTAGTTTAGACCATTCGCGGGATAGATCAGCTGGCATCACGCGTTGGACACGTGCCAAGTACCTATTATTCATAGGGCTTAAGATCTTCGCAGTAATAATCCATGTAAACCACGTCTTGAGTGGGGAACTTCTCGAATAAGTTAGGTTTGGTGAGCCGCGATTCGCTGTTCAGCACACAGTTTTCGGTCATTGGCCAGTATATGAGTGAGGCACATTCAACGCCCATCTCATTGGCCGCACAAAGCCTCTTACACACCTGCAGATCGACGTTACGAAAGACCGCCGCCGCGAAGCCGATCAGCAGATAGTTGTCCCATCGCTCGAAAGTGCATTGCCTCACATCTTGAACGTGTTGAGTGTCGGCCTCGATATGTTCTTCTTCTCCGCCTAAATAACCGTTCCATAGCACCTTAGAGAGGGAAAGCAAACTCGGCGTGTATCACCATACTTACACAGAAAAAGAAAATGATCCACGGCTCTGGCGGACGTGTCGTTGTTCCATCCGTAGTACACCGCCTCCATTGCGTCCGCAAAGTACGGTACTGTAGAATTTGCCCCCGGACCGTATTCCAGCACCATTTCTGCGTCACAGCTTTTGTATATCTTCGAAGACGGATTGTAGCAGAACGTCTCGCATGGCTTCTTGGTCTTCTCGGCTGTTACCGAAATCCAAGATATCGTTCGCTTGTCTTCGGCTAATTGCGGATTTTTCACTGGAACTAGCGTGGCGCCCAGATAAAACGGATACGTGCTCCTGTAATTCAGACCGTTTATGCGCGATGAGCAAACGATTTAAAATATAACTAACAGATGCATGCTAAAGAGATAGCTCGATAGCAGCTTATAAATCATTTATTTAAATTCATATTCACTAATAGTATGGTATATTTGTTGCAACGCTATTTTGCAATGGACGTACAAGATTGTGAGGCGCTGCGGAAGTGAAGCTAGTCTTTACGTAGATTTGGTAAATCTTTGCATTGGATTTCCGTTAGCACGGGTGATGGCTAGACTTATAGCCACCGATGTCGAGAATGCGTTTTCATTTTCATCTTCCATGACCGTTTGTCCACTTGGGTCGCAGAGGCAGACGTATCATTCAGCGGTTCCAACGTTTTTTGACTCTCTGCTAGAGCCTTAAATTCGTCAGAAAACAGCCGCACTCTACAGGAGATTTCTTCCATATATTTGCACCAGTTTAATCGTGACCGTTCCCTGGGCCTTCTGCCTGTCAGTTGTTGGGCATGCAGTTGTTGTTTCACCTTCTCTTCTGGAGGCATTTGTCATACAACCAAACCATTGCAGCTGTAACTTCTCAGTCTGACGAAACAGCGGCAGTACACTAAGGATCTCGTGGATGTCTGTATTCCGGACATTGTCTAAGAAAGCCCATTTCAGCAGCTTGTACCCGGGTTCGAAGCCTTTCAGTCATGGTCCACCACTCATGACCGTAGGTAAGTATGGGGAAAAAGATCGACTTGAATAGAGAGCTTAGTTGTCAGA